GGGGACCCGGGGGGTGTCCTGGGGGTGCTGACACCCCGACCCAGCAGTGCTCAGCACGGGCACACGCTGCCGGGGCTGTCCCCAGGGTCGGGGTCTGGGCTGTTCCAGGGTCCCTGATCCCTCGTGTCCCCTCTGTGCCCCCCCGGCTCCCCACAGACCCCGGCGATGCCCATGCCTGGCACAGCCATCCCCCACCTGCCTCCGACCTGGATTTCCGACATCACAACTACAAGGAGATGAGAAAGGTGCCAGCCCCAGCGTCCTGGGGTGGGGCAGGGGGGCTGTGTTCCCCCAGGGGCACCCCGGTAGGGTTCTCTGTGCTCCTGGGGGCACCCCAGCATGGGGAAGAAGGTCGCTATTCTGCTGGGGGCACCCTGGCATTGGGAAAGGGTCTGCATGCCCCTATGGGTACCCTGGCATGGGGAAAGGGGGCTCTGTGTGATCTCCCTGGGGACACACCAAGGTGGGGCAGGGGTGTCTGTGTCCCTAGGGGTACCCTGGCATGGGGTCTCTGTGCCCCTAGCAGTACCCCAGCATGGGGCAGGAGGTGTCTGCTCCCACAGGGTCACCAGGCTTGAAGTGGGGGGATCTCCATGCTCCTGGGGGCACCCCAGTATGGGGCAGCAAATCTCAATGTCCCTGGGGGCACCTTGGTTTGGAGCAGGAAATCTTTGCACCCGTAGGGGCACCTTGGGTGAGGGCAGGGGGGTCTCTGTGTCCATGGGGGCACCCCAGCATGGGGCAGGGGGTCCCCACAGCCCCGGGATGCCCTGACCTCGGCCCCCCCAGCTGATGAAGAGGGTGAGCGAGCAGTGCCCTGACATCACACGCGTGTACAGCATCGGGCGCAGCTCCCGAGGGCTGCGGCTCTACGTCATGGAGATCTCCGACCACCCTGGGCAGCACGAGATTGGTGCGTGTGGGGGGTGGGGGGCACACCCTCTGCTGCAAGAAGGGGACAGGGACAGGGTGGGGTGGATGGGGACAACCAGCATGGGGACAGAGTGATATGGCCAGGGATGCCCAGGCTGGTGCAGGATGGGAACAGGGGTGGGCAGGGACATGCAGGATGGGGACAGAGTGAGATGGATGAGGACACCCAGGCAGGATGGGGACAGGGACACACAGGATGGGGACTGGGTGGGGTGGATTGGGACATGCTGGGTGGTGCTGGATGGGATGACTGGAGACACCCAGACTGGTACAGGATTCAGACAGGGACACCCAGGATGGGGGTGACAGGGACACCAGGGGTGGGGACAAAGTGGGGTGGATGGGGACAGCCAGACTGGTGTAGGATGGAGACAGGGACACCCAAGGTGGGGACAGGGTGGGATGGATGGGGATGCCCAGGATGGGAACAGAATGTCCAGGATGGGGACAGGGTGTAGGAGGCACAGGGACACCCAGACTAGTGCAGGATGGGGACAGGAGGCACAGGGACACCGAGGATGGGGACAGGAGGGACAGGGACATGCAGCTGGATGCAGGATGGGGTGACCCCATGATGGTGCAGGATGGGTATGGGGGGACAGGAGCACCCAGCATGAGGACAGGGTGTCAAGGGACACCCTGACTAGTGCAGGATGGGGACAGGGAGTACAGGGACACCCAGGATGGGGACAGGGGTGACAAGGACATGCAGTTGGGTGCAGGATGGGGTGGCTGGGGACACCCAAAGTGGTGTAGGAAGGGGACAGTGGTGCCAGGGACACCCAAGATGATGCAGGATGGGAAGAGCGACACCCAGGCTGGGACAGGGGACACAGGAACACCCAGGCTGGGAACAGAGGGGACATCCACCATTCTGTTTCCTGCAGGTGAGCCGGAGTTCCGCTACGTGGCTGGGATGCACGGGAACGAGGTGCTGGGCCGGGAACTGCTGCTCAACCTCATGGAATACCTGTGCCAGGAATTCCGGCGGGGAAATCCCCGCGTGGTGCAGCTGGTGACAGAAACACGGATCCACCTGCTGCCCTCGATGAATCCCGATGGATACGAGACTGCATACAAGCTGGTACAATGCCCATCCCAGTCCCCACTCTCCACACCAATGCGCATCCCAGTGCTCACCCTATGCCCCCAGTGCCCACCCCAGTGTTCTTCCCAGTGCTCATCCCAGTGCCCATCCCATTCCCCACCTGGTCCCCATCCCAGTGCCCACCCAGTGCCATTCAGTGCCCACCCCATGCCCATTCCAGTGTCCACCCAGTGTCTGTCCCAGTCCCACTCCCCACCTCAGTGCCCATCCCGTTCCTTACCCCAGTACCCACCTTGGTGCCTATCCCAGAGCCCATCCCAGTCCCCACTCCAGTGCCCACCCCCATGCCCACCCTGGTTTCCACTCCAGTGCCCATCCCAGTCCCCACTCCCCACTCCAGTGCTCATCCCAGTGCCCACCCTGGTTCCCATCCCAGTGCCAGCCACTGCCCACCTCATGCCCATCCCAGTGCCCACCCCAATGCCTTCCCAGTGCTCCATCAGTACCCATCCCAGTGCCCCCTAGTGCCCACCTGGTGCCCACTCCAGCCCTCTGTGCCCCTCAGGGCTCGGAGCTGTCCGGGTGGGCCATGGGCCGCTGGACCTATGAGGGGATTGATCTCAATCACAACTTTGCCGACCTGAACACAGCCCTGTGGGATGCAGAGGACAACCACCTGGTGCCACACAAGTTCCCCAACCACTACATCCCCATCCCCGAGTACTACACCTTCGCCAACGCCACGGTGAGACTCCCAAACCCCCCAGAATCCCCTAAATTCCCCATCCCGCCATGCCAATGCCATGATGAGCTGTCCCATCAAGCCCCCTCATCCTCCTGCCCTAATGCCACAGGGAGCCCTCCAAGACCCCCCTGTCCTCCTACCCTGACGCTGCAAGTCCTCCTGAAATACCCCCAAAAGGCCTCTGTCCTCTCATGCCAGCACCACAGTGAGCCCTCCAAACCCCCCTGTCGTCCCACCCTGCTGCTGCAGTGAACCGCCTGAAACTCTCCCATGTCAATGCCACAGTGAGGCCCCCAAAATCTTCTCATCCTCCTGCCCTAATGCTGCAGGGGGCCCCCCAAAACCCCTTTGTCCTCCCATCCTGCTGCTGCACTAAGCTCACCCAAAACACCCCCCAGACCCTCTGCCCCACCACCCTGCTGCTGCAATGAGTCCCCCAAAAACACCCCTAAACCCCACTGTCCTCCCATGCCAGTGCCGTGGTGAGTCCCCCAAACCCCTCCATCAAACACAGTAAGCCCCCCAAAGCCCCTCTGTGCTCCCACCCTGCTGCTGCAGTGAGTCCCCTGCAGTCCCCCGAAGCCCCTAAGAGGCTGTGTCCCCAGGTGGCCCCCGAGACGCGGGCGGTGATCTCCTGGATGCAGCGCTACCCTTTTGTGCTGAGCGCCAACTTGCATGGGGGAGAGCTGGTGGTCACCTACCCCTTCGACATGACCCGAACCTACTGGAAGGCTCAGGAGCTCACCCCCACCCCTGATGATGGCGTTTTTCGATGGTTGGCCACCGTCTATGCCACCTCCAACCTGGCCATGGCCAGCGGAGAGCGCCGGCGCTGCCACTACGACGACTTCATGAGCTTCGGCAACATCATCAATGGGGCCAACTGGCACACGGTGGCAGGCAGTGAGTGGAGGGCTCAGGGGGACTTGGGAGTGTGGCTGGGAACCCCCACTAACACCCCTCTGTCTTGCACAGGTATGAATGATTTCAGCTATCTGCACACCAACTGCTTCGAGATCACCGTGGAGCTCTCCTGTGACAAATTCCCTCATGTCTCGGAGCTGCCGGAGGAGTGGGAGAACAACAAGGAGTCACTGCTGCTCTTCATGGAGCAGGTGAGGGCAGGAGACACCTCCAGGGGGCTCTGTGGGACTGGGAAGGGCCTGGGGTTGGGGTTTAAGCAGGGAGGGCACAGCTCAGTGGTCCCCAAAACTGTCCCGAGGCTCCATCTGTCCAGGGGATCTGGGAGCTGCTGGGGCTATGGAGGCAATGGGCCATGGAGCAGGTCATGGAACAGGTCAGGGTGCAGAACATCCTGTGGGTCTGGGGGGGACAGGGACACTGAAGGGCTAGGGTTTTGACAGGGAGGACACAGCTCAGGGGTCTCCAAAACCCTCCAAAGCTCTGTCCATCCATCTGGGAAGTGCTGAGGCCATAGGGACACTGAGTCATGGAGCAGGTCAGGGATGGGGAAGAACCCCAAGGGGTTCTGTGGGTCTGGGGGACACACACTGAAGGAGTCCTAGGGGATCACAGGCCCCAAGGGGTCAGGGTTTCAGTAGGGGCTGAATGGGCAGCAGTGGGACATGGATAGGAGGGCCCAAACACTGGGGCTGGCACACAAGTGTGCACGTGTGTGCATACGTGTGGCACCTGCACACCCCAATCCTGGGCCCCAGGTGCACCGTGGGATCAAGGGAGTGGTTCGGGACAGTGAGACAGAGGAAGGAATTCCCAATGCCATCATCTCCGTGGATGGCATCAACCACGACGTCCGGACAGGTATTGAATGGGAATGGAATTAGGGGATGGAAATGTGATGGGGAAAGAAACGGGACTGGGGACGGAAACACGGTTAGGCTGGGAAAGAAGTTGGAATGGGGACAGGAATGGGGATGGAAATAGGGTTGGGCTGGGAATGGGGTTGGAATGGGGATGGGATAGGAATAGCGATGGGTAATGGAATGGGATGACATTGGGAAGGGGGTTAAGAACAGTAACTGGACTGGAGATGTGCACGGGATTGCGATGAGAACAAGGAATGGGGCTGGGGACAGGGAAGGGAATGAGACGGGATTTGGGGATGGGATGGGATTGAGGACTGCACATGGGGATGGAAATAGGATTAGACTGGGAAAGGGGATGGATGGAGACAGGAATGGGATTGGGATTGCAATAGTAATGAGATGAGGTTGGGAATAGGGATGGGAGATGAATGGCGATGGGGATTTGAATGGGATGGAGATGGGACTGGGGACAGAGATGGGATGGGATAGGGAAGGGGATGATGGCAAAGAATAGGGTTGGGGATGGGGAAAGGAGTGGGATGGGATTTGGGGATTGCAAATAGGAATGGAAGTAGGATTGGGCTGGGAATGCAGATGGGATGGGGACAGGAATACGATTGGGGGTAGGAATGGGGATGGGGCTGGGAATGGGAAGAGATGCGAAGAATGGGATTGGGGATGTGAATGGCATGAAGCTGGGGATGAGGAAAGGGCTGGGGTAAAAAGATGGGAAGAGGGCCGGGGTGAATCCAGGGGTATGA